GATGAGCGTCTCTCGCCCTCCTTTCCTCACAGCGGCAGAAGTAGAGGCGGCCCTGTTGCCTCTGCAAGATGTGCTGCTGCTGCTGCTGTTGTGTTCCAACAGCTGGGGGGGTGTGGGGTCCTGATGATGATGATGATGATGATGATGATGATGATGATGACGAGTATGATAATGATTATGAGTGTCTAGAAGCTTGTGTGTCAAAAAAACTACCCTGGGGTGCATGCATGTAAGAAGTCCCAAAAGTCAGCTTCACCCTAATCGGACTGAGAAGTATGTGTGTGTGCCCACATGGTCAGGAGGGACTCAAAATACACCAAATCCGTCAATGAATACACTAACATTCACGATATATACGCTAACACTCGTGATATATCCACTTGTTGTGATGTGGTTGTATGTCGTGGTTACTCACCAACTGGATGATGGTGCTCAGCGACGCATCGACGCTCCACTCCTCGTCCAGCTAGAGGCGCCGCTGCCGGGTTGGCTCCGCGGCATGTCACGGGCAACTGCTCATCACCACGAGCGGCTCCCGTCAAAACCCGGGGGAGGGCGGATGGAACAGGTCGATTAATAATGTCCAGCGTTGACACTGTTCATTTTCCTGGTACGTTGACAGGGCGAAGGGAAGAGTCGGGGGTGGGAAATACGAACGGGAGTCCGCAAGCCTCTGCAGCTCCAGCCGCTGTGTGTTTCTCTCCAGTCCGCCTGCACTGTGGCTGCTGTCAAACCCCATCCGGGGACTCCAAGCTTCACGTTTCACCTGTGGAATTATGGGAGTTGTAGTTTTACAACAACCAAAGCCGCAATAAGGCGCATTGCTAAACGAACAACAAAAAAAATAATTTGAACCATTTAATACAAACTAAAACAAATCATGAAGGTAGTTGAGTAAATTATGCACATGAGCCTAAACTAAAGATGCTTACTTTGTCCCATTAAAAGCCATTTTTGCGAGTTAGCCAAATGCTAATATGAACGCTAGCTAGCTAACGATCAAACGCGAGATCGACGGATGGGTTAATGGATAAATAGATAGACAGATAGATAGATAGATAGATAGATAGATAGATAGATAGATAGATAGATAGATAATCAGAAACAGACATTGTTATACACGTCCAAGGTATCGCGATAGTTCTAGAGAGACAATCAATTGGTCACCTGACCGGAAAGATAGCGACTATATTTTTTTTAACGCATACTTTTAGTTATAATTATTTAAAAATTAATTCAAATATTTTAATTAACTTCATGCACTGTACTATGAATTGATAACCAGTACATAGACTAATATAAATTGGATATACTAAAATACACACATAAATATAGTTTAAAAAAAAGAAAAACAATAAATGCAATTAATCGAGTTAAGAAACTAAAATTGAATAAATTACTGTATGAAATCATCTTTACGCCAGCTACATGGTAAGTTCACAGACCTCAAATCGTCGGATGTCTGTTATGCAAATAAAAGTAAAAATACATTAATAAATTTGTGAATGACAAAATAATAGTAGTTTTCAACTTTCACTATTTTAAAAAAATAAATCAATAAAATATCAAAAGATAAACAACACAGATCAAGACGTCTAAGAGCCAAATACAGTCAACCATAAGAGATGTTAAAGATGTATTGTATTGTATCCAAATATATCTGATCTTTATTACAATAAACATGACAGGGTTAAAGTCCACATAAAAAGGGTACAATGAAAAAAGTCCAGAAATATGACATATTTCCCTTTTATGCTTTCATTCACCCTGCCCTCCCAATGAATGACTGAATAAATGCTGAATTTGCTATATGGTCTTTGTGATGCGTTAAATTAAAAACCACGAAGAGACGGCTCATACAAAACCTAAAAGTTCTTCCTCACCATCTCTCTCGCTCTCGATTTACAGACACAAGTAGGTAAAATATATATTAAAAAAAGTGAGGGGGTGGGTGCTAATATTTCACATGGTTTTGAAATAACTTTCATACCAGAAATGACTGATTTGTTCAAGTCAATGTAGCTGGACGAGTACATCCTCTTGAATTTGTGATGTCTCATCCCGGGGTTCTCAAAACATTAAAAGGGAAAAATTGTAGTATATTGTCAAAAGTACACCTTCTGTTCATGAAAAAAAAAAAATTCCAGTAGTAATACTCAACCTACCTATTCACTTAAGTATATCAGGAGGTGTAATTGGTTTTTCATGTTTGTTTGATTGGCACAGCACAATCATTTATTGCATTTAAATATTGTCCAGGGAACCTAGTTTCAGAAGCATCACTGTGATCTATTCACACAGTACACAGGAGGGTTTCAGAATGTTTGCTCTGTCAAAACATGACGGTCAATCCATTAGGATGCCGAAAATGCATGGAACAAATATTATATGGCGGATGAGAAAGAAGCGAGGATCTTGTGCCAAGTCGCATCCCTCCTCCCCGACCATCTACATCTTCTTCCTTGTTGTCATGGTTACAGAGTAAAGCAACATCACTGCAGGGTCCGCTTAGCCGAGGTCCAGGCGCCTTCCCCGTCCGTCCCGCAAGGGTGCGGGAAAAGACAGCGTTGTCGTAATGTCTGTTTGTTCCGTGTGGGGTTTTTCTTTCCTGTGCGTGTCTTTTTGTACTTGTGCGCGGTCACAGGTTCTCGCCGGGTTGGTACTGTGGCTCGGTGGCGGTGAAGTAATCCTCCAAGAAGGACTGCAGGTACTCGAAGGTGTGCCTCTCGTCGGCCTCGCGCCGCCAACACTGCAGCATGAGCTCGTGGAGTGAGGCGGGGCAGCCCGGGGCACAGGCCATCCGGTAGCCTCGCTCTACCTGCTCCAGCACTTCGCGGTTGTTCATGCCTTCCGGGGATGGAAGAGGAAGAAGAGGAGGAGGAGGAGGAGAAGGGGGAAATGGTGAAGCGATGCACGACGCATACTGAGAGTACAACATTAGGCATATCTGCATGATCTAATGAGATCCAGAGCTGTACAAAAAAAAATGGCATTTTCAGCCCTCATTTATCCGAACATTAACAGGTACAAATTTCCACAAGGTCCGCCAAACGGCACGACTCTTTCCCATTCAAAGCATGCAGCAACATTTTTCATTTTGTAATTGGAGAGAATCCATCCATCCATTTTCGAATCCGCTTATCCTCATGAGGGTCGCGGGCGTGCTGGAGCCTATCCCATCAGTCATCGGGCAGTAGGCAGGGTACACTCCGAACCGGTTGCCAGCATTTAAAGTGTTGTAGCAGAATCATTTATTCTACTCATCATTTTTTGTTGAACTAGCAACGCTTGAAAGGAAACACCATTACCTCTCATGCAGCTCTTTGACTGGATCTCACACGAGTGTGTGTGTGTGTGTGTGTGTGTTACATGTGGCACGTGACGTCAAGTCATCCATAAAGTTGTGACATGTTCAAAAACTTTTTTACCTGGGTAGGGCACGCGTCCCTTGGTGATGAGCTCGGTGAGCAGGATGCCGAAACTCCACACGTCCGACTTGATGGTGAAGCGTCCGTACAGCGCAGCTTCCGGCGCAGTCCATTTGATGGGGAACTTGGCCCCTGCAACCATGGCAACAAGGCAGCGTGCTTTCATATTCCCGTGTTGCAGATATACACTACATAGGTGTGTATAAACACAGACACACACACACGCACTCACTCACTCGGACGCACACTCGCTCACACAATTTGACTTACCTTGTCTGGCGGTGTACTCGTTGTCCTCGATGAGCCTTGCCAGGCCAAAGTCGGCGATCTTGCACACCAGGTTGTCTCCGACAAGGATGTTGGCGGCCCGCAGGTCTCTGTGGATGTAGTTCATCCGTTCGATGTAGGCCATCCCCGCCGCGATCTAAAAAAGCCACAATCGCGTTATAATGTCAAATGTGCACTGCAGGGACTTTTTTTTAAAACCCTTTCAGGGACAGCGGTTACAACAGTGGACATCTTATCACGTTATCAGCTTACAGGGTGCATGAAAGGGTTGAATATTATTTGTTAATTTGTCAAATAACCTGTGCCGCCATGTCCACAAGCTGGGGTAGCTTCAGGTTTTGCCCCTCGCCGTCTTTTAAGAAATCCAGTAAACTTCCTGTATGGAAAGAATGAAATAGGAAGTGATGGTTCTTCACTTTTGCGAAGAGTGAAAATATCGAAGCTGAGCACGTTTTACAAACTCGCAACTGGACTTTTCCACCATTTGACCAAACATGACATGGAGACCAAGCGTGTACCTTGGCTCATGAACTCGGTGATTATATAGATGGGCTCCTCGGACACAACGGCGTAGAGCTGTACCAGCTTGTCGTGGCGCAGCCTCTTCATGATCTGAGCCTCCTCCAGGAAGGCCTCGGGGGACATGGTGCCCGGCTTCAGCGTCTTCACCGCAACCTTGGTGGTGCCGTTCCACATCCCTTGACATGAACACGGAGCCCGTGTCAATACACACATCGAGAATACAGAACGCGTCGTAAAGGAGGGGATGTTGGATGCATGCGGCTTATGAGGAGACACGAACACGCATGCACAACATGTGAAAGTGAACCTATTGCATCAGCATGCACGTGTCGTGATGCATGGAAAGCGGTACCTGGGCTACATGCGTAACACACGGCTGTCTTTTAGGGACAAATAAGACACACAAAGTCAATGCGGTAATTTGATTACTTAAAGTTTATATATATATATATATATA